TAACTTGTCTGGCCTCACCTTTTTTCCCCACTCCCCTTTTCAGTCTCCTTATTGTTCCTTGCCTTTCATTGTTACATGAATGCAGAAAAGCTTAGAATCCTCAGTTATATCCTTTCTTGTCTCCTTATTGTAGTGAAAGTGACCTGGCGGAAGTGCTGACATTTTACACACAGAAAAACAGGTCAGCAAATGTCTTCCTAGGAAAAAACTCCACAAGCACAAAATGCGGCAACAGCAATAATGAGTCAGAGAAACAGCCTCAAGAGGGTAAGTTTTGCTGGCAGTTCTGAGATGGCATTGCCCAGATAAATCCACTTTAACTTCAGTCTATGGAAAGAAGTGGGATGAATCTGGAACAGCATTTATAAGGAGCTAGATATAGTGGGTCATGACTGAAACAATAATGTGCAAACTGAAGGCACTGAGATTTGAAAAGTGCAGAGAATGCCCAAAATCAAAGTAAGGGATGAGAGAAATCAAGGCCTGTTAAATTGTGCTGCCTACAGTGAGTGTCCCCATTGGAGGGCAGAGTCTGTATATTTGAGCCTAATAAGGTTTTCCATGGAAGGATATGCAGTGCCAGCCATACATATTCAGGTGTCCATGCTACTGACAGCACAATTGTGATCAATAGAGTTGCATGGTCTACAGTAATTATTAGCAAGAAAATCCATTCTAAGAATGTTTTAAATTCTGCAGTACTGTTGTAATGATATCAGTTTCATAGAATCATAGAATAGTTAGGGTTGGAAAGGACCTTAAGATCATCTAGTTTCAACCCCCCTGCCATGAGCAGGGACACCACACACTAAACTATGTTGCCCAAGGCTCTGTCCAGCCTGGCCTTGAACACCTCCAGGGTTTGAGCATGAACAACTTCCCTGGGCAACCTATTCCAGTGCATTGTTCTACTTCCTAACTTCCTGATTTTTCTAGAGCATCCTGAGGTGGTGAAAAAAATAAAAGGTCATCAGTCCAAAACTTCAGTTGCAGGTAAATCAACCTGTAAAGTGAACTGGCTTAAATCATAATCAGTAAAAAAAATAATTAATGCAGATACTGTTTTAAACAAAGGTTGGAAACTTTGGGTTCATCCTGAGGGATTCAAATGCCCAATTTTGGGGAGAGTTCTGCAGGGTTGGTTGTTTGTTTTTTTTTTAAACCCAAGAGAAGGTACTGTAGAGCCATCAGTTTGAAAGTGTTAGCTGCTCTACTGTGGGGGAAGATCATGATACGTAACAAGCTTTGGAAGAGGTTATTCATCATGTAGAGCCTCTTGTTCTCTTTGCCAGTACATGAGGTCATATTGGCTTCAGTGTGTCTGGGTAGAGGCATCTTTGGTGTGTCGATATTATCCAAAGGACCTGAAAAGCAGCTTTTTCTCATCTAGTGTGCTCATTATCTTTGTGTAGTTTCAGAAGGACCCATCTTCTCCTTAAACCCTGAAGTGAAATTACCTCGGTGTGGCCCTTCTAGTGCTTCTTCCTCTAGTTATGGTGCCACATTCCAGAGAAGTACCAGTTCCTGGACACCTTCTCAGCCTTCAGCCTCTGAAAAATCACAGGTACCTGGTCACCATTGCCAGCTCCTCCAGCTGGTCCCAGGCCCCTTCCCCACTACCATCCTTGCAGTTCACTGCTCCTGACAGCTCTTCTGTCTTCATAAACCCAGTGTCTAGTGAGGCTTCTAGCCTTGCAGGGTTACATTGTTGTCATTCTAGTAGATACACTGTTGGCCCTTTCTCATCTTTTCAGGCTGCTGCTCAGATCTACAGCCAAAGATTGTCCCGACCATACTCTGCAAAAGCAGGTGAGTGTTCTGGGATGCTTAATAATCTGCTAGATCATGTAATTTCTGTTCTGGAGTAGGTAGAAATTTTACATTTCCAGAATTATGAGTCTAGTTGAATGGTGGTAAATTTCTCATGGAAAGGAGTACAGGAAGCAGCCCTTGTTTGCCAAAGATGCCCTTTTATTGCACAGATGAACAGTTGAATCATAGAATCACTTAGATTGAAAAAGACCCTTAAGATCACTGAGTCTGACCATTAACCTAACATTGCCGAATTCACCACTAAACCAGGTCCCTAAGTGCCATGCCTACACATCGTTTAAATACCTTCCCTAGGCAGCCTGTTCCAGTGCCTGATGGTCTTCCTAATATCCAGTCTAAAATTCCCCTGCAGCAACTTGATGCCGTTTTCCTATCACTTGTTACCCTGGGAGATCATGCCCATCTTGCTACAGCCTCCTTTCAGGTAGCCGTAAAGAGTTCAGCCTTGAACTCAGCTGTTGAACTTGTTTGAAAAGAGCTGGGAAATAAAGTGTTGTATATATTTTTCTGATTGTATTACTGAGCGCTTTTTTAAATTTTTTTAAATCTTTAGTTATATTAATCTAGTTTTGGTCAGTAGAAGTCCTGTCTCAGTCTGTGTTTTCTTAGTTCTCTGTTTATCATGCAGAGAAATCCTTTAACAAAACCACATAATTATTTAATACTTATGAGGTATTCAATAGGTGTGTAAGGACCTCCAAAACCAACAGATCTGGGTGGATCGTTACTGTGTCTCTTTCTGCAGGACCTTTCATCACTGCCATATCCAAGTGTATCTTAAAAACATGATCTAGAGACTTCTCACTTACCATGCTGGGGTAGAATATAGTTGAGCAATGCAACTTTAGAGTGTAACGAATCTGAAGAGTAGAAGAAACTATAGGAATTTTTAGATACTTATTGTACTTTATTGAGAAAGTTTTGGGAACCACACACAGGCTAACAGCTGTGGTCCTGATTTATTTTTTTTTTAATTATATACATTTGTTTTAGATTGTACATCAGGGTCAGCGCATGTTCATTACGGTTGCTGTGTAGATAGATACATATATTGACCACCTTTCTAGGATTAAAATAAATCTGACTTCCTAATTGAATAGCTTGTTTAAAATGATCCATTGTTTTTAAGGAAAAGAATTATAGATTTAACTTAGGTAACAGCAGCTAATATTATCTGGAATTGGTTGCCATTAGATACATTACAATAAAGAGATTATGGGTTTGGAATTGACAAAAGCTCATGTGGGCAATACCCATGCAGAATAGAAGGCTGTATTCTCCCTAGAATATGCAGAAGGTATCATACCTGCTTTTGTACTGTGATCAGCAGGCTGAGAGAGTCTGACATACCGCTCACTAAGCATATCCAAATGCTTGTTTGGTAGGTCTGTGCCATCGCAGTTCAAGTGGGCAGCATGTGGTCTCAGCGAGGATGCACAAAGATGCAGAAGATACTTCTTCCCAGGACAAAAGTAATAACCCTTATATGGTAGCAGCAGAACTGCAGCAGGTGGCAGAAAAGCAGGTAGGCTGTCAACATTCCCCACCATACCACATCAGTCTCCTTATACAGCAGGTATGTAAGCAGTAAAGCTAGAATCCCTGTCACAACAGAAAAGGCTGTCACAGGCTTCATTCTCACAGTCCCTGCACTTGTCATCTTTGCTCTGATACTTGGATTTTGAAAATACTATTTTAGCAGTGGTCTTTTGCTAAGTTTTCTGAAGCATCTTTAATAGTTGCAGTAGCTGGTGCTATTTGTTTCTTTCAATTTTATCGTTATGTTTGGATTTTGAATATCTGTTTAGATGATTGGCAATATCTCTTTTTTAAAAGGTGGGGTGCATTTGTAAGTCTAGGAAGCTGAATTGATTTTTTTGGACTCTTCTACATCTGGTTCAAAGATTTGATTCAGTCTTGTCAGTTCCAAAACTAATACAGGCACTTTGGTCTTTGCAGATAGGTCTCGAACTTTAAAGGATAAGTCACGAAACGAAAGCACCTTCTTGCTGATGAACTCAGCAGAGAATGTGAGCACTGAACATACCAGTGATGCTGAGGCCTGATCTTGCATCAGGCCAGACCCTACTTAGAGAATCTTATCTTTCAAAGCCTGAAGAGGTATGAGGAACTCTGGGAGAAGCTTGTATGCTTGTCCAGTAATATTCAGAGTTGTTAGTCTGGTTCTGTTGATGAAATCAGAATTCAGCATTTTAAAGCTAAACTTTGTCAGTAAAACTATTAAAAAAAATTGGTAGAGAAATGAACATTCATTCGGGAAATGCTGACTTGTTGAAAGCTAAATATATGATGGAAGCCGTCTCCTTGGATAAAAAATAGTATCTAAAAAATATTTGAGGAAAAATGAAATGCCTCTACTTAATTTTTTTTTTCTGAAAAGAACTTTAAAAAATAAATTAATAGACTTTCTCCCTAAACCCACTCATTTCCCACTTGGCTCCAACTGCTGTGGTTTTTTAGGTCTGTCTAGAAAACCAAGTTGTTCTCTTGCCGCCATTTAAAAATCATCTAATAGTTATATAAAATTCTGTATTCCTACCATAGCTAGTTACTGCTAGTTAAATTAGGAAGTATCAAAGGGGAATCCAGAGAGTAATTCACAAAGCTCTATGAGGGAAGGGCTGTGTAGCTTCCTGAGCAGAGCTGCGTTGGTTGACATAGGAACTTACTCTGGTAGTTGCAGATGGTGGAGGCTGAAATCTGTTTAGCCACCTATCAGTGCAGGTATACACAAGTCTGGAAGTGGCTGTGAAGTGCAGTGGAAGCTCTGGAAATGTGTTGGTTGTGGTAAATGTGTCTGTGTTGCTTTTTGTTTCTGGGTTCTCAGCAGATACTTTCCCCACAGAAGAGTGGGAAATGTGTAGAATGAAAGTGCTAATTCCTTTCTTTGTGACCAGCAAACAATAAAGACCTCAGCTCCTAGCAAACAACGTAGATTATTTCCAACTGAGATTTTGTATTGAGCGACACAGTGTTTGTACAGGCTTTGCTTCTGTAGTGAAGTATAGAAACATATGTTGGGTTGTGTTGTAATAGTCTTCTGTCACCATGAAAAAGATCCATGTAGAAAGGGATATACAAGTCAATGAAAAGTTTAGAGCTAGAGCTCTATCTGTCAATGAATTGCTCTAGACATCTGCTCTCTACTTTGATTCTCCAGGCCACATTTCTGCAATAATCCCTTTGCAGAAACGAAATCTGAAGCTTGCTTAATATGAAAATTTGAATGGTTTAGTTGAGGATAGTTTTTCTTTTGAAGAATTTAAAGTTTAAATTCAGAACTCTGAATTTATGGCATGTAGTAGTTCCTAACCTAAGACTATTATTTTAATCATACCTGAAAACAGTGATATTTTGGAAGGTTCAGATATAACTGCAAGGCCCAAAGGAACATAGGTAAAACGTACAGCTGCTACTCACGGGGTTTGTTGTTGGTTCTTCCGTCTTCCCCAGACACATTCATAGAATGTCTTCTGTCATCTAAGAGTCATTCTGATTATTTTTTTGATCTAGCGTGGCTGTTAAAACCTGTGTTGCAACAAGGACCAAGGGTTTTAGTTCTGTGTGAAGACAAGGTTGTTATGACAATGAAGGGTGCCAAGATGTACCAGCATACAATAAAAGCATAATAGTATAGCAGCAAGTGCCTGTACAGGCAAAACTGGAGGAGCCAAGCAAGGGTTGAGTTCATTTTTGGGTGACCTAGAACCAGGACACCTGCTGTTAAGCCACTAGATATGGATGTGGATGTGAAGCAGGGGAATTGAGTGAATAGAAGTGCAGGCATTAGAGAGTAGGCTGACAGTTTGGAAAGTGATTTGCAGAACAGTAGATACCAGTGAAGCTATTTGGGAGTGCTGCATGGTTATAGGTTTGGGCGGGGAAGGATTTAGTCTGAATCAGGTGAGAGGAAGAGAGGGGCATAAGAGAGAAACATATGGGAGAGGATTTAGTAAATGGCCAGAGAGAAGTGAGAAGTCAATGACCATTGGTATGGGTTGAACAGAGGAAAGACTTGAGGTGGGAGTGTTCGGGGACTCTGGGTTATGAAATCCTTGTGGCTTAGGGAGAGGAGAAGGAAGGGATTGGAAGCTGAGGGAAGGTTAGAGACAGGATTTTTATAAGGGTGATTTAGCTAAACAAGGCACTGCTTTGTGTTTTGTTGTGCATTTCTCGACAGGAGACTGAATTGTTATTTTTCCCCCTTTTCACTCCTCTATTTAAGCCACTTGAAATATAATAGTCCTTTTAAAGTAAAAGCATTCTAAAATAAATTGGTATGAAGGTGACCCCTGGAAGAGAACATCACTTACGTAAATAATAAAAATAGTACAATTGTTTAAAACCACTCCAGAAACTTGGAGTTAGTCTATCTTGTTGGAAAGTACCTGGTTGGTATGTAAGGGGCCTGATATTTGGATTTAATTATATTTAATGGCAAGATTATGCTATTGATTTAGAGAGGATGTAAGAAAGATACTTTTGAAAAAACTACTATTGCTGTGGACTGTTTCTTTTCCAAGGGCAAGAACTATAATGTGAGAGCTGAATGCCTTTGTATCTTGGTTCCCTGTGTTGTGCCCAGCTGTATCTTGGGGGCGGGGGTTCTCTGAGTACATTACCTCCTTCCAAGAGCAGCTGGGAAGCTTGTTTTCCATTCCCATTCTTGTGAGAATTGCTTCTGATATCTGTGTACTAGCCAGGGTCTCTGGAGTACCTAGGAATGTAGCCTCAGTAGCTGTGCTTGGAATAATGTTGCCATTCTGGTTGGGAGTCTACCTCTGTCCTTCATCAATCCCTGCTGTTTCCTACCTATGCCCAAAGCACCTATTTCATGTTTTCTTTCTTACACTCCTGTATTCTACCCTCTGTACTCAATCAGTTTAACTTATTAAGCCAGTTGGCTGCTAAAATTACAATATTCAAAGGGAAAATTTTAAGACCAAGTATTTGACGAGCATGGAACAAGGTATTTAAAACCTGTCATCTTAAGAAAACAAGATTTTTGTGAGTACATTATCTTTTTGTCTTACCAGTCCTCTCTGTTCTCTTCTGAAACACCAGATGGCAACTTCATGGTGATACTCATGAAATGAACAGTTCTTGTAATATGGGAACTGGAGATGGTAGAAAGGTAAAGCATTACTGATATGTGGTTTCATTCCCTTGTACACAGTTGCTTTTAAGTCGTCTCATGAAGTGTGTGGGAACATTTTGCCTTGCATTAATTTGTATTTTTGAAAAATATTTTTCATTATGTGGTATAAAATTTCATCAACGGATCTTTATGCTTGCAACAGTGAGAAAACAAGGGTGTGTTCGCAGTGGTATACGATAGAAATATTGATCTAAAACCCATGAGAATCATTACTGCCTAGTTGCAGGAATGAGAGCGAGATGTATATAGAGAAAAGAGGAGCAGTATTATTGTATTTTAAACTAGAAAAGGGTAGCAGTTACTTCTGTAATGGTCTTTAATGGCGATGTCTTTTGTGCACTTACCTTAAGGACACACTTGAGTATGACAATCTGAGGTTATGAAAGACAAATATTCAGCTTTACAAATTAATATAGTGAAGCTGCTAAGGAGAATCTTTGTTGTTTAATATAGCTGTAACAATGAATGTTGTTTTTTACTTCTGAGAAATTTTATTCCATTTTATTTACTTAAAATCACATATTTACAATGTTTTTGTGGCTACATAAAATCTAATAGTTAAACTGATTTTGAGGTTATGACAAACAGTAGAGTTATGTACCTCTGACCGTAAGAGCTATAGTACCCACAGTATTAAAAAATAACCTGATATTCCTCTAGCCAAACTACCCAATACATTAGGGAGAAAGCAACACAGAGATCTGTAATGGAACATGTGTGCCTTTGAGGGTCCAGCATTAACCTGGTAAGTTCATGGCTGAATAGGATAATAAGGAGATATCTGACCTCAAAAGGTTGTAAGAAAACAAGTAAGAAAGAGAAAGCTCCTGTCCAAATTCTGCAAGTTTCAACTAAATTAGTCTTGAAGATAGTACGTTCTTACTTGTTTCATGAAAAATGTTAGAGACAGAGAAGAGCCAGGCCTGTGAGTGTTTCAGTCAAGGGTGAAAATCAAGTGGAGTTCATAATATTCTGTTCTCTTTGGACTGCTGCCTATCCAGTCAGAGTGCATATATAAATTAGCCTGTTCACTGCTAATTTGGAACTAGCTGCATCATGTGCTGTTTCTTGCTTGTTAGTTAAGGGGATGCAGGGAGGAAAGATACTGACTATATCATAGGTAGCAGACTTGTGAATGATGTGCTTATCGGCCAAGGAGACACATGGGGATGCCACAGGAAATCAGATTTCCTTAAATATGCTATTGGTAGATTAATTTGTTAATTCAATGGGGATATATTCTATGTCTGTAGAAGCAGTTTTTGGAGGATGTGGAATTTGCATTTTTCACTGTACTGTGTATAAAGGAGATACATTTTTCTTCCCAGGTAATGAAGTTAAACTTGTAGGAGAAAAGATAGGCAAAAAATGTTTTGTGAGACTTCTATGGCTGGATG